GTGATTTCAGCTCGACAGCTTCTCACTCCAAACACCATCTTTCCACTTTCTTTTCACGCATTTTCGGAATGTCTTTGGCAGCCCCTCTGTTTTCTTGACAAAGTCGATCTTTGGGGCGTCAGTCTTTTGCTAATGAGGTCCTGCCACTGACGCCCTTGTCAGATGACAAACCTGGGAATCAGAGTTTTGCATCACAATGTGAACAGATGGTTTCCAGCAGCTCCTGGTAGTCTTCCCACTTGGGTGTGACTCCCTCACCTTGGTCCTGTTGATCCGTTAGCAGAGATGCTACTCTTGGGCCTTCAGCAACCTCTGACTTCTCCACAGTCCCGGACCCCCCTGTTGAAGACACAGAATTTAAAGCTATCATGGCCGGGTGTTTCTGTCTGCACTTCTTTTGAACTTCCATAGAAAAAAATGACATGAAATTAACTTACGAGAAAGATATTGTCTTTTGACATTGGCACTTTTTTTGCGCTTTAGAAAGCATTATGTTGCCAGTATCTACAGCCCTCTAGTTGTACTTCATCTTTTGGGGCCGTACACATGCCACGTTCTTTGCACCCTCAAATTCATTGTTTTCAATGTACACACACAGCAGGTGCACTCAAATGCCAGAGCAGCACACACACATTCCCAGGCACCCATTTTTCACGGCGCGACGGCTGCGCCCTAAGATAAACAGAGTTCAACTTCTGGAATGCAGCAGCACGCACCGCATGTCACAACAACCAATCACAGCTGGCAGATATCTTTCCCTTCTTCCGTAAATATCAGTCTGTAAGTTGATCATTTTAGTGCAGGGCTGCGTCCCATGGACAATATTTTCGGCCTAATACACACTTATAAACAGCGCCTGGAAGAAGATCAGCTCAGCACTCAGTAGGCACAAGAGTAGCACCCGACCTTGCGTTTTCCAGGCAGTTAAAGATGCGGCATGTGCACGGCCCCCGAGACGCCTCTGCATGACGTTGTTCTTTCAGGGTGGTTTCCACATGTCTGAGACAAGTCAAATGTTGTTGTTCTCCAGTTATCCATCAAACTAATTCCTTTAGAAGAAGTTGTAAACCAACAACATATGAGTTCGTCTCTTAATACTGTCTGATTTTGTGTCTCTCAACTCCAACCCCATGGTCCCTACTGAAGATGTAAATCTCGGTGTTGAGTCGAAATAAACGACGGTGTGTGCGCTCCAACACGTTCTCATCCCAACTCATCAAATACCACCGCTTTGTCAGTGGATTTAGATTTTAGATTCCTTTCCACAGGTCTAGGCAACAAAACCCCCTGGTCAAGTTTAGAGTGCTTACGAACTCACTATGTCCTGTTCATATGCAGTGTTGGGCCGTAGCTGAGTCTTTTCAATAGCAAACTTAACGCATTGACTGAGTGTCGCAGTAGCATCTACGAAAGTTACAAGCTCTTCTTCCTGGGAAAAGCTCTCAAAAGTGCGGTGACTTTTTTCTGTGGAGGACTGGATAAAAGTAAGGAAAATAAAACCGAGGATTCGTAACATGACTGAGACCGGCGCCACGCCGAGGCATGTAGATGACCCTTCAGTTTATTCAGCTTGCTGCTTTGCTATCGGCTTTTCTTTGCAAGATCGCCCGACTCTGCCTCTGATTGGCAACACTGAACTTCTTGACTCGTTTCTTACTTGACTGACAACATTGCAGCATTCCTGGATTGGTTTGACATATTTGGTGTAAAACTACGACCCTGACTGACTGAATTCTCTGAAATTCAAACTCAATCAGTGATTTCTCTGTATCAGCTGCCACCATGACTTTATTGACTAAAACTGACTCCAACAGTTGATCCTTAAAGTCCCGTCATCACTTCAATCTTTCTGCCTCATGTCCAGTTTCTATTTAAAGGCCAATATCGGCAAACTGACACGTCAATGTAGCAGCACTGCTTCTTGTCCACAACAAGTGCTGCCTTTCAGCAAACCCTCAATCCCTCGCTCAAGCTATAATTTAAGTAAACACTTGCTTTCAGGATGCTCTTCAGCACCTTCAGTACAGCCAGCAGCTCTGCAGTGCCTGTTATTTTGCAAACTCTAAGCCGTATGAGCTGTTCTGAATCGCGGAGCATTATTCTCTGGAGACGGATCTCGCTGCTGATGGAGACAAATGGGCCTGGCTGAATTCCCCGTTCCCAGCTGAGGAAACAGAGCGGCTGGCTTGTGCCCAGGGGAGCGGGCGATGCCGGGAGGGAGACGCTCAATGGAGAGGAGATTTGCCGAATGAGCAGACGTGCCTTAGATTTGAAATTATGCTCCCTGATACTGATAGCTCCACGGGGACCAGTGGGAGCAGGGATATCATTATAGAGTCTGCTTTATCTCTGTTATCTGGCTCGATGTGGAACTCCAGGACTGATGCATTCAGGTCACAGGGACAGCTTCTCTGTGACAAGAGGAGAAAATCCAACTGTGAACCCTTGTTGTCAAGTTGTCAAGAGCAACCAGGATGAGATCGTCCAACGATGACACAAGCAAACATAACAGAATGCATGCAGTATTCTGTTCAGAAACAGGTGGTCACCAAGCAGCCTGCTCTCCCATGAAACCCTAGTTTACACGTCATTATTCCCATGCATAGCTTTCTTATGATCCAGCTGCCTCCTCAGCTCTGTGTGCTGGAAATGCCAGACAAGGGGAGTCATTTACAGCAGATCTCCTGTCTTCACCCGAGTGTGGAAAGATCTCCCAATATGACCAGTATATTCGGATAGACCCTGTTGACAGCTAGTGTTTTGCAGCGTGGTTTTTATCGATTTATTAGCATTTATTTGATATCAGTAAGATCAAATGGGAACATTAACACAAAATCAGGCTGTTCTCATGCACTGTTAGTACTTTTGAAATTTGTAACTATCACACGTAATGATGAGCCAGGTACCCCCCTCATGACAACAGTACTCCCCAATGGCAGTGGCCCCCCAGCAGGATAATGCACCATGCCACACATAGCTCAGGAACGGCCCAAGGAATGTGACAAAGACCTCAAAGTGTCAACCTGGCCTCCAAATTCCCCAGATCCCAATCTGAATGAGCATCTGTGACACAACCCACTGGACTAAATGGGTCTGCCAGACACCGCAGGACACTCCCAGAGATCCTGTGTCAAGGGTTAAAGTCCAATCCAAGGAGGCCCCACCTTGGATTAGGGGTACATCTGGGGTACCGGCGCATCACAAGAATCCTTGAGCAAACAACAAAGAACTAATGAAGTTTAGTTACTTCTTACAAGTTACTTCAGACAACAGAAAACCCTCATGTAAAAAATCATTTGCATGCTATCTAGCCTTAGCTACACTTAACCTACCAGCAATTACCCTGACATTAACACAGACGCGCACATCTGAATTTCTGGGAGAAATGACCAATTTTATGCAGCGTAACGGAGAAGTAATTTAACAAGTTCCAGTCCAAGTTTCAAACAGTTGTCTCCAGGGGAAAGTCCTGTGCTTTTGTGACCCATCCGCCACCCCAACCTGCCTCCATTACAAGACTGCTTCCTCGTTTACTCCCGTCGGCACATCCGTCACGTGTTTGCTGTCTTTCAAAATACGTAACATATGTACGAATTTAGACGCTAGATTACTTTTCACAGGAAAATGTACAAACAATTGGTGAGGACACAGGACTTTCCCCAGGTGACTGGTGTTCAGGACCGTATAAACTTTGAGTCATTTTAACGTCCTCACCGTGGTTCTTTTCCTAAACCTAACCTCAGTAACTTCACGTTAAATATATAGCTTTATGTGAGGATTTAACATCAGTCATGGGGCGCAGACCCAACTATATAATACGAACGTTGTATGAGGAAAAAAAATAATATGTACTAAACAAAACAGTGTTACAATTTTCAGGTACTTATTAAAGAAACACAGAATTATATAAACAATTATAATATTTCATTGTGTTTAATGGAAGAGCTGATAACTGTGCTAACTGATGCCTGTTAGCACATGCACGTGTGTGCTTAATGTGTATGAACCCTCTCACACTCCTGTAATTACTGTGTGTGTTTAATGACAGCGAGCGGCGCTCCCCGACACCTGGCAGCCAGTCGCAGGGCTGCAGTCTGACCTGCTGCTCCCCCCGTCTCAGGCGGCTCTGCGTGTTAGCGACTGCTTTATGATGGCAGACAGACCGATTCCTTTTTTCTGCCCACCGGCCAGTCGACATGAGGCATCTGTAGGGTCTGAGCCCAGCTGCAGCGCAGCAGGCAGGGGGAGGCTGTTTATTCTCTGAAGTGAGGCTGTGAGCCAGCAGAATACAAAACGGTTAAAAAGGCTCGCCTTGAATTGAGGAGCTGACCTAGAAAGCTGTGAGTGAGCGCACACAACTAGAGAAACATGAGGAGGGGAAACAGCAGCCAGCAGCTTCCTCAGGGCTGCTGATGGACATTTGCTGAACTCCTGACCATATGAATAAAGACGCTCTTTATGTACGGTTTGTAAGTTGTGACCAGTCGCTTTTTTTAATTGTTAATAATTCATTTACCTCACATTCCAATCAGTTAAAATACAGCATCGTATGAGCCGCAAGTGTTGTGAAAAACCCCTCCGGCAGGTGTTCGTCCTCCGGCAGGATCTTTTATTGGAACACATCAGAAAAATACACCTGAGGAGAATCTGTCCCAAAAGGGAGGAAAGGTTAAAGATGAATAATAAACAGCCAGTCATTAAGAAGGGACATTATTTCCATGACTTCATATTTCAGCTGCAAGACACAATACTGTATTGGTATAAACAGCCAATCAAGGGAAGGGGTGTATGCGACTTGATCAGTAAAGAGGATCTTGAGTCAGACAAAGCATTCGTCATTCTCTGTAGAGATGTAGCTCATGTAAATATGACCTGAGACACAGGATCAACAGAACACTGAAAGATAACATGCGGTGAGATTAGATTACCCTTAATCGTGCAGGGCAATTCACAGCAGCAAATGAAAACAATGATTATCTTCTTGGCCTTTTTTTTTACAGAAGAAGAGTGGCAGTAAAGTGGGGAGAGGAAAGAGGGGACGACATGCAGCGAAGGGCCCCAGGATGGCATCAAACCTTGGCCGCTGTGGTGAGAACACCGCATGTTGTTGTGTACCGTGCTGTTTTGCACTACTCACTGCAGGTTTGGGTGCAGAGTCAGTGCTGGAAGAGCGCTACATATTTCTTTTCTTGACAACACACTATAGTTGAATGAATGAAGGTTTTATTTCGAACATGTTAAAGTAAAAAAACAACAACAAAGCAATTAAAGCAGTTAAACAATCAAAAAGAATATATACTTGACATGTTCTAAAAGGGATAGGAAGAAGCAAAGCTTATTAAATCCTACCCCTTCTCCACTCAACAATTCATAGTTATTCCCTGTGTGCGTATTATTTTTTTTTTAAAATTTACATACTCATAAACATTCCATGAATATGGCATGTATCAGTAATACAAGATAAATAATTAAATAAACAAGTAACTATTAACAAAATGTGGGAACACCTAGTGTTCATCACATCCTTCTTCCCTATACCTTGTGAGCACCATGTGTTTGTACCGCTGTTTAAATTTGCTCATGCTTGGACAGTGCCTCAGGTCCCCCGAGAGTCTGCTCCACAATTTCACTCCACATATGGAAATACAAAAAGTTTTTAATGTTGTGTAATGTGCGAGCACAAGGATGTTTGAAGTTGAGTTTTCCCCTTAAATGATCCCCCCCCCCCCCCTTTGAAAAAACAGTTTTGGGATGTTTCCTGGAAGTAGGTTGTTTGTTTCTCTGTACATAATTTGTGCTGTTTGAAACCAGATCAGTGAATTTCAATGCTTTTGATTTTAAGAATACTGGATTTGTGTGTTCTCTGTAGCCAGTCTTATGTATTATCCAGACGATGCGCTAGACCTTTTCGTCGCCGGTCATTTTGACCGACAGGGTCATAAAAATCCAGTCATAATCTATTTTTACCAGCCATTTTAATTTTCGTTTTTAAATGATAATAAAGATATTCAATGACATTTAGTTTTCATTTGTTCGTTTTTAATAAATCCAACAAGCAAGTTATAAAGTGTGCATTAATAAGGACATGAACGAAAAGATGAACAGACATCCACACACCCGTGCCATTAGGCTTCGGCCTGGACACACCGGACGGCACTAACATGTCCGGTGTGTCCAGGGCGTTATGTAGTTATGCCTGTAGGATCGGTGACACAAAATTAAAATTGTAATGAAGTGATTATGGTATTGAAAAATGTGTTCGGTTATGCACTGCTGTGTTATTTTAAATTATAAACAAAGTATTTTCTCCTCACGTTCCTCAGTGCATGCTGTTGTTATTTTATTTTGAAAATTGGCCGGCTTCTCCCGTCTTTTCTGCGTCCGACTTCCTGTTTGGTACGATCCGCTTGATCCAGCTTGACAGAAGCGCTCGCGGCTCCCGTGAAAAATAGACCAGACGCTGAACTGAAGTGCTGCTTCCGCGGGCGCTCTGCTCTGCTCAGCGGCCTGTGTGGACAGTCAGATAGGTTAACATGGGCGCTGACTGAAAACTGCCTCCGCTGCTGGGCGCCGTGCTTCGGTTCCGCGTCGGGTGTGTCCAGGGCGTTATGTCAACAACGCTACATGAAGCAGATGAATGACTTTTTCTCTGCAAACAGTGTGAAAACGGCAGCCACTTAAACCACTGACTGTGCACTCCGCTGCCAAGTGGGCAGGGGTGGTAATTGCAACCGGTCAAAATGACCGACGGCCTTCAGATTTTCCGGTCATTGTTGTAAAAATACGGTCAATGACCGAGAATATCCGGTTAACGTGACCCCTGGTATTATCCTTACTGCTCTTTTTTGTAGTGTAGACAGTGGTTGTAATGTACATTTAACGTATAGTAACTTAAGTATGGTAATAAGAGTGAGCAGTAGAGAATGCGGAGTGAATTGTGGCACAGAAAGTGTTTTGCTTTACTGAGTACTGAAATGCTTTGTGACAGTTGTTTTGTATGTATTTTATATGAGGTTTCCAATTGATTTTATCGTCCACTATTATACCCAGAAATTTATTTTCATGTACCCTGACAATATCAACACCATCTACCTGTACGTGCACCTGAGTATCCCTTTTACAGTTTCCAAATAACATGAGTTTGGTTTTGTTAAGATTTAATGATAATTTGTTTCTGTCAAACCATTTCTTTAATTTATACATTTCTGTTGTTATTTTCCCCAGTAGCTCCTGTAAATCCCCCCCTGAGCAAAAAAAATTCGTGTCATCTGCAAATAAAACCAGTTTTAATATATCAGAGACTTTGCAAATGTCATTTATATACAGAGTAAACAGTTTTGGACCCAGTACTAACCCCTGGGGGACACCACAAACAATTTCCAAGCATGAGGAAGTATAGTCTCCCAACTTCACAAATTGCCTCCTGTCCCTTAAATAACTACTCACCCAGTGCAAAACTATCCCCCTAATCCCATACCGTTCCAGTTTATTGATTAAGATATCATGATTGATTGTGTCAAAAGCTTTCTTGAGATTGATAAATATTCCAATTGTATACTGTTTTTGATCTAAAGCGCTAGTGATGTCTTCAATTGATTCCATTAATGCCAATGATGTTGAACTGTTTGATCTGAATCCGTACTTTATGTTTATCTATGAATTTGTCTAATCTGTTATTTAATAGTTTTTCCAGAATTTTTGAGAACTGTGGTAGTAAAGAAACAGGCCTATAATTTGTGAAGTGGTGTCTATCCCCAGTTTTATACAATGGTACAACTTTTGCTGTTTTCATTTTGTTTGGAAATTTACCAGTTTGGAATGATAAATTACAAATGCCCTCAATGACCCTTTTTACAATTTTCATATCTATGTCGTTACAATCAGTGGATGTTTTATGTTTACATTTATTTACAATAGCAATAATTTCCTTTTCATCCACAGCAGTAGTTTATTTTGACTTACACATACACAGTCCTGCTGCCACAAATACTGGAGGTGGGATGAGAGAAACAAGACGGAAATGACGCCGCATGGTTGAAGAGAAAACGGTGGATCGTCTGCAAAGAGATTTTCCGCCTTTCTCTCTCTCTGTGCTGCTGCGGAGGCTCTCTGGCATGTTAATGTCCAATAGATAAATGATTGGTTTTGGAATTATCGTGTTTTATGTTTGCATTTGTCATGCGTGGCCATCAATCACATGCTGGCTCCTCAAATTGGCACTCAATCATCAAAACCCCAGGGATGACACATTGCTGGTTTGGGTCTTTTCTTTGCAACCTTTATCCTTTAAATCTTGTACAAACACAACACTGTAAAATTTTACAAATTTTATGATTTGTTTAATGTTTTTAAGGTGAGCAAAAAGCCATCAAAAAGAAATTCTAAGAAATAAGACACACCTATGAGATAAAGTCTTTGTACATTGACACACATGACCAAGAAGAATGCTTTGGAAAGTAAAGTTGCACTGTGGTTATGACATATTAATGCAGTGGATATTGTGTCCTGTTGGGATGTGAGTGCTTGTGTTTGGTCCTGTGTGGTTGTGAGGGAGTGTGCTGTTTGTTTTTGTGCAGCTCTGTGCCTGCTAGGTGTGTCTGAAGAACAGAAGAACAGATGTTATTCCTGGTCCCTCGGTGTGCGTGTTTCTGCTGGAGAGGCTCTGGCTCGCTACATCACAGAGCATGGAAACTTCATTGATTTCTAGCTAGGGCAAGATCAAGAGCACATTGAGTGCAAGAGGCAGTGCGGGGAGTGAGATTACAGTTGGCAGACACCTTCAGACAATTATTCAACCAAAGGACATTGTCGGTTTGTGTGCAAAGTAAAGTGTGGTTCAAGTACTAACCTCTCTATCTGAAGTGAAAGATAGTGGATGATAGCATGATACATTAAAGTTTTAAAGAGCTTTCTATTCTTAGATTTGGATTTTTGTTGCTCTCTTGGAGACAGAGAGAAAACAAAGTCGAAAAGGGTCGAAAATGACAGACCTAAACCTTAATGTACCCAGGAAATTCATTTTGAGATCCAACTGGACTAAATCACTTTTAAAAACACACATAACCAACGTGTTTTTACCTGAGGTTTTACAGACCTGATCCCGGTGTATGTCAGAGAGGAGTCTTAGGACCCGGGCTTTGGGCCTATTTCATAAACCCGACAAACCCGGGAATCAAGATTGCTACTAGATTGCAGTTCTAATGCTAAAAACGTTTATCATGTTCTTACCCATCTTACTGTATGTAATATTTATGTGACATTCTGTCGAGATTATGTCCATCTGTTTGTGTTTAGTGTGATCATGCTCTCCAGCCTTTTTTCCCTGTGTTTTATTCTCTGGTTAATGACACTGCTTGAATTTATGGACTTTGTTTCTTGTGTGATTTCCCTGAACAGACTTCTATGCCTTCGCTGACTGCCTTCACGTGTATGACCCCTGACCTCCTAAGTAAAGATTTGGATCTGATAAACTGTTCTTGGTGGTTGGTGTTTTTCTCTGCAACTGAGTACCAGTTTTGTACTAAATCAGTTTCATAATGTTTCAGATGTCTGGTTTTATTTTATTGTAGTATATGTTCATTTACTTTGTTGTTGTAATTTGATCTGTTGTAATGCCTTAATTATGCCAGGGTTAACGTGTCCTCCTCTGAGGCCTGATTAAACAAAGTCAGTTCAACTTACCCATGATATCTTTTGGTTGTGTGGCTTGACTAAGCCGTCACATTGTCCGTCTTGATTACCGTTACTACAAAGCTGGTTATCAACTAGTTAACTTCATCCATCCATCCATTTTCATCCGCTTAAAGTTCAGCTTGCAGGTTAAATTTTTTTAAGAATATATACAGAACCTTTTCTGAAAATTACCATATGAGAAGTTAATTCAGAATTTATTATGGTTTACACGACATAAGGGCACAAATTCAGAGGAAAAAGTATCTCTTTTTAGCTCCTCTTCTAAAAACGCTTTTTTTTTCAACAGCGCCTGATACTACGTCACGAGAGGGACTCTGCGTCCTTGACCCTGCCTCTGTCCAATGCGCAGTAGTAGGTGGTAGTGAGTCTGAGCGGTAGTAAACTTGTGAGTTTGTATTTTTTCGGTTGTTAACAGTGAATTTCACCATTTGTGGTTATGCCGAATTATTGTGTTTGTGCAGGTTGCACAAACTCGAGTCTGTCAGGACATCGAGTCCACCGTTTTCCGGAGTGAAAAAGGAGTGGAGTTAGTTTTTGTGTCTGGGTGCGTTTTGTGCAGGTGAAGAGGCGTGACTTCACGGCTTCATCTGTGACCAAAAATGCGGTCATGTGTGTGCAGCGCTCATTTTGGACAGGAGGATTATGTTCCTGGCGGAGGCCCGCCCGCCCTCGCACATACTCCCGAGGCTCAGGTCTCCCTCTCCGCCGGGGTATGTGCGAGGGAGGGCAGGCTCCACGGAGAGGGAGGCCTCCGTGTTTGAGATGGGAGCGGGCGGCGTGAGGGTTGATGGGCAGTGTGAGGCATGTTTTGTCTGGTCTGGGGGTCAGATTCTCCACCAGAGCCCAGAAGGCATCCACCTCCCTGCAGCACATACTCTCCACAGCTGAGGACATGAGCTGGCAGTTCCCACACAAGCACCTATCATATAAAACATTATCAGGAAATCTTCGTATTTCTCTCTCTCTCTCTCTCCTTCTCTCCCCTGCGGACGTCAATACACCATAATGCGGAGTTATAACACGCATAGCAAGATACGTCTGATACAAGCTGATATTTGCGCATTAGTTTCTATTATGGGTAAGTAGCATTAGATATCTAATACTGGCAGAACTATTGGTAGCTTTGTAATAACCTAATAAGTAATGACAAACTTAATGTTGTGATGTGAACACAGCGTTAGACATCGTTAGCTGTCGTTAGATAACGCTGGTCGCTCACCAAGGCACCTGCCCAGTTCTCAACTGGTTCTCCTCACACCACAGCTCTATTTCTCTCCTGTGGCCGTTATTTCTCTTAACCCTGATCTGTTCCTGGTCTCTTGGACGCCTAGCAGGCTCATAATTATAAGCCTGTGGTCCGACGTATGCATATGAATGTACATTTTCAACCGCTTCAGTCTCAAAACTAGTACTGGGATCCATGTTTATTAATCAATCTCAATCGAACTCGGCCGGACTCCCTTACGCTACGTCACTTCCGGTTAGTGGGTTTTTAGATGCGGAAACAAAATTCTCTCACAAAAACGACTCCAAAAGTCACTGTAGTGTGTCTATGTTTTTGTTTTTTGTTTTAATCGAGTCTCTACATAATTTTCCTACACATTTATTCACCATGGTCTCCAACCTGCAATTTGGACTTTAACTGAGGGTGGGTCATAGCATAGTATGTCGTCCAAAATCATGAAAAAATGTCATAGTATAACATGAAGTCTAACATCATGCAAAATCATTAAAAAACGTCAAAGTTTCATATGTTTGTTCATGGTTTGATCCTTATCCAGGACAGGTGAATTTATAAAGCCCAACGCCCAAATAAAAAAGTTAAATGCGCCCGGAGAAAAGGTGACATGTGTAGTAGCAGGATAGCTCAGTGGGTAAGACTACTGGCCTTAGTGCGGGCAACTGGGGTTCAAATCTGGTCAGGTAAATGGTTTGATCCTTATCCAGGGCACATGAATTTATAAAGCCCAACGCCCAAATAAAAAGGTTAAATGCGCCCGGAGAAAAGGTGATATGTGTAGCAGCAGGATAGCTCAGTGGGTAAGACTACTGGCCTTAGTGCGGGAGACTGGAGTTCAAATCTGATGCTACCATATGCACGTCATGGCACGGCATGGGGGAGCCAGGACGCCGGGAAAAGTGGGGATGTCAACATCCCCCACATTGAGTATATGCTTATTTCACAATTTACTATTAAGTGTAACAGTAATCTGTAACACTAATAATAAACTATAGTAATCTACATATCTAGGACAGACAAGAGGGCAGCTAGGCCTTGAGCGTGAATGTGGCATGAAGGTGGCTAGGACTGGATGATAGGAGGGCAGGATGGATAGAAAGGTAGCTAGGTAAAAGTTTTTTGACAATGTTGAGTTGTTGAGTTAAATGTCTAATTTACATTAACTTTCTTAAATTGTTAAGATGTCTACATTTTAACTAGTTAACATGTCTGAAGAAGTGTCTTAAAATTTTTAGACAATTCAACTTTCAACATTACAACTTTAGTAGTAGTAGTAGTAGTAGTAGTAGTAGTTAAAATGTCAAAAAATGTTTTTAAAACAATATTACACCTTCCTGTCCTAGCTACCTTCCTTTCTGTCCATCCTATATCATCCAGTCCTAGCCACCTTCCTTTCTATCCATCCTCATCCTGCCCTCCTAGCCACCTTACCTATTACCCCGATCCTAGCTACCATATGTCACATTCATGCCCAAGGCCTAGCATCCTTTCCTGCCCTCCTGTCTATCCTAGCATCCTTTCCTGATATGTAGATTACAATAGTTTATTAGTGTTACAGGTTACTTTTAAAGTGAACTGTGCATTAATCATTTACTCAATGTGGGGGATGATAACAACATCCCCACTTTTCCCGGCGTCCTGGCTCCCCCATGCCGTGCCATGACGTGCATATGGTAGCATCAGATTTGAACCCCCGTCTCCCGCACTAAGGCCAGTAGTCTTACCCACTGAGCTATCCTGCTGCTACACAAATCACCTTTTCTCCGGGCGCATTTAGCCTTTTTATTTGGGTGTTGGCCTTTATAAATTCACATGCCCTGGATAAGGATAAAACCATCAACCTGAATAGATTTGAACCCCAGTCTCCTGCACTAAGGTCAGTTATCTTAACCACTGAGCTATCCCGCTGCTACACATAAAGCATTTTCTCCGGGCGCATTTAGCCTTTTTATTTGGGTGTTGGACTTTATAAATTCACCTGCACTGGATAAGGATCAAACCATCAACCTGACTAGATTTGAACCCCAGTCTCCCACACTAAGGTCAGTTGCCTTAACCACTGAGCTATCCTGCTGCTACGCATAGCTCCCTTTCTCCGGGCGCATCTAACCTTTTTATTTGGGCGTTGGACTTTAAAATTCACCTGCCCTGGATAAGGATTGATCCTCTGATCTCAGAACACACCAGCAGCGCTTTAATAGCCTGCGCTATTCCACTTCACACTTCCGTTGCATTTCACGGAGCCTTTCATTCTCTCCCCTGGACAGTGGACTTTAAAATTTACCTGCCCCAAGTAAGGATCAAACTTTCATCCTCTGGATTCCCAGTTTTAAACACATGTATCAGTATTGTCAGAATCACGTGACTTTTAGGGAGAATATATTTCTGGATCATATTTAAGAGTAACTGGAGTAATGAAGTAAAGACAACAGCGCTCCATCTCTGCTGTGAATGATTCATTTAAAACTTTTATGTTTTATCTCAATCACGTTATTTAAAAAAATCTCATTAAGTGGCAGTGGACACATTGGAAAGTGTAAATTATGAGGTCTCTGTCAATATTTTTTTCACACTTGTATTATAAAAACTCCTGGAGACATTAATCCAAATAAATTACATATTTATCTAAATCCTGCCGAGCGCTGTGGCACAGGATTCATTGAGGAGGCTCCGCCTTCGCTTCCAGCAAATCGTGTACTGTGCAAAGCATTGTGGGGATTTTATTTTAAAGAAGGACTCAGTCCTTCGTGAAACTCGGAAGGATCCTTGACATTGGAACAGTCCTTCGGCAGGTGTCGATGACGTAACGTCCTTCAAATTCAGCCGTTTGAGGATCCTCCCTTGACAGTGAGAAACACCTCATGTCTGTGTTTCTGCTAAACAGACTGACTGTTCACCTGAGAATTTAACCCTGATCCTCTGACCTTCAAACTTTTTACAGGCAGAGTTGTAGTCAACTAGAGTAATCTGAAGTTATATTCCCTTCATCTGCACCGCAGTCTCTATGCTATTGTCTGACTTCACTCTGTTGTGTGAGTGTGTGTCTGTATCTGAGTGTGTGTGTGTGTGTGTGCTGTGAGGAGGAAGTGAGCCCTGACATGCAGAGAGCAGGTGAGAGGCTGCAGCATGATGATACATGAAATCGAAACTTTAAAAAGTAACTTTAAGCCAATTATGGTGGAGCTTATTATTATGATTTTGGTTTTGATTAAATTTGCCATGGGCCGTTTAATACTGGGTCTCAGTAACAATCCCTGCCTCCATTACAGTATAGTATGTTCTCAAAAATCATGAAAAAAAACATCATGGTGTAGCATGTCATCCAAAATCACAAAAAAACAATGTCATAGTATAGTATGGCGTCAGAATCATGAAAAAACATCATAGTATAACATACTAAACCATGAAAAAAAGGCATAGTATAACATGATATCCAAAATCATGGAAAAAGGTCATAGTATAGCATGTCGTCCAAAATCACGAAAAATTTCAAAGTATAGTATGTCATGCAAAATCGTGAAAAAACGTCATAG